CCTTCCCCATCCACTAGAACAGTGCTCAAAGAGGTCATGGCAGAGGGCAAAGGAAAGAAAAGAGGGGGATCCTTGGGGTCTTTTTGCGAGAACCTCAGATTACGGATGTTAAGGACTAGTCGACTATTGGATAAGCAAACGCTTATCAGATAGTAGAATCAACTACTCAATTCCCCCCACTTACTGCCTCTATGAGACAGAGGCAGAAAAGGGTGGGAAGATGGGGTACTTCAAAGCAGCAGCGCTGTACAGAGCCCGGGGTACAGGCTCCATGCAGGGCTGCCCCTTTGAAATGCTGTGACAGTGTATCAAAGGGACAGGACTGCACAGCTGATCTTGGGCTCTGTGCAACACTGCCCCTTTGTAACACAGTGACAGTGTTTCAAAGCGGCAGTGCCTCATGGTGCTGATCCTGGGCTCTGTGTGGCACTGCCTTTTTGAAACAATAAAGTTGTGTTTCTAAAGAACAGCACCACACAGCTGTGTGGTCCCCCCTCTTTCAAATAACGCTGCAGCATTTCAAAGGGGCAGCACCATGTGGCACCTGGGGTCAGTTGTGGACTCCCTAGCTGGGCTCTGTGCAGCATTTCTGTGGAACTGGAGTCAGCTGGGGGGACTTCCCAGCTGATCCTGGGCTCCACGCTGCATTTCAAAGCATGAGTTCCACGGAAATGCCGCACAACGACTGTGAGACCCCAGCTGACCCCAGCTCTGCATTGGCATTTCAAAGCAGCAGTGCCTCATGGAGCCCAGGGTCGACCCCAGACTCCGTGAGGCCACTTCTGCTTTGGAATGCACAAGAGCCCCCACTGGGTATTCCTGTACATTTCAAAGCTGTCACTCACGTGCAGCCCGGGGTCAGAAGGAAGGCTGCTGACTCCGGGCTCCACGTGGATGCTTCCACTCTGAAACAATACATTTCAAAGGAGGAATGCGGAAGTGCCTGTTGACTAGTTGAGTAGTTGATGGAAGTTCCATTGACTCCCTGACTAGTAAATGACTCGATATTTAACATCCTTCCCCCAGACACAGCGCTGGCATGTTGTATCCATTCTCCCTCCCTTTCATCTGTATTTCCCTGCATGCGTGCACAGTGCCCAGCAGAACAGGCCAGCACCACTCGGCACTATCCCAACTCAAACTAATATTGTTACTAAATATTGAAAAGTTCACAGTGGAATAAATTAGATGTGTGGACTTAAAAAAGCTGCTGCTCTGTCTATTAGCTGAGCTCAGGAGAGTGAAGGTCACAGATTCATAGTTTCAAGCCAGATGGGACCATTAGATCATCTGCTCTGACCATCTGTACCTCACAGGCCAGATAATCTCACTCTGTTCCCCCTGCACTGAGCCCGGTAACTCAGGCTGGGCTGCAGCAGCTCCCAGAAAGGTGCCCAGTCTGGACCTGATGCCATCAGGAGATGGAGAATTCACCACAGCCCTGGGAGCTTGTGCCAATGGCTGGTCACTCCCTGTGCCCTGGGCATTCAACAATCACAGGGATGGAACCACCTTATAAAGCTTCACTGGCCTTCCAGTGTCCTTTCCTTTAAGGAGATAGAATCACTGAGCTAGTGGACAGAATCTGGCCCAGAGTTGTCACTGCCAGACCATCGGCCTGATGCACCCACATGCAGGGAATCCCACCAGCACAGACCCTTCAGTATCCCCTGCAAAACGCACACTTGCCAACCTGTTGTGACCATTGTATGTAAGAATGTGGAGACATGAGGAATCACTGCACAGACACCTCCTGGCCCCATCTCCTTCATTGCCCTCAGCCCACAGATAGCACTGGTACAGACCTCACACATCTCAACAGACAGAGGAGGAGACGTACCAGTTTTTAACAGAGCCTCCTCTTCAGACCGTTTCTTCTCAGAGGCCTTTTGCTTCACTATGAGACAGAATCAGACATTGCAGTGAGACAGGGAAGGAAGGGGTCACACTGAGCAATTCACTAATACAAGTGGGGCCAGGACCCCTTGTGTTTGTTAGTTTGGTTTGTTTTCCAAAACCAACACAGATTAAAGATCTGAATAAGAAGCTCCCATGCCTCAGCCCAGGGCCCTCTAGGGCCAGACTCTAAACATGCCAATCACAGAGTCCCATTACCTGTGTATCCAAGATATCCACAAGCTCCGACAGCAATGAGAACCAGAGCAAACAATACCCAGAATGCAGCCAGCCAGGGAGGCTTCTGGGGGAAGACGTCACCTGCCAAAGAGAGAGCACAGGGTGTGAGAAGCATGGGCCCATCCTGGAAAGAACAGGGTTTGCCACTTGGCCTGATAGTTGCCCCCGGGTACCCCAGAACTTCATGGCTGGGGGTTTGCAGGCTCTAATCACAGAAAAATGGAAGCCATTGAAACCCGAGAACCCCAAGAACCGATTCTCCCCTGCCCAAAACCTTCCTGCTGCTACAAACCAACAGCCATGCCCAGCCTGCCTAGCCCTGCCTAACCAGCTGGCAGTTGGGATGATCACTGACACATGGTTCCCAGCTCTCAGTCACCATGTCCAGTCCAGAGAAGTTCAGCAGAGACCAGCTGTTTTCCCAGCTGGCCCAGTGTGTTATGAATCCGTGGAGTCATAGATGTTAAAGCCAGAAGGGGCCATTGCAATCACCTAGTTTGACCTCCTGTAGAACTCAGGCCACAGACTCTCACCCAGTGATCCCTGCATCCAGCCCAGACCTTCTGTTCCAGCCCAAGTGGAGCTTACAGAAAGAGACGCCCGGTTTGGGTTGAAAGATTCCAAGTGATAGAGACTCCACCATGTCCCTAGGGCAGTTGTTCCAAGGGTGAATTCCCCTCACTGTTAAAACTTGCACCTTGTTTCTAGTCTGAATTTGTCCAGCTTCAACGTCCAGCCACCAGCTCATATTCTGCCTTTGTGGGCTAGATTAGAGAGGTACTGAGTCTGTGATTGAGTCTCCTTTTAATCTTCCCTTGGAGAAGCTCTATAACTTAAGTTCCCTGTTTCTGACTGGGCGGGGAGGCTTCCAGACCTGTAATCCTTCATGCACCTGGTTCCTGAGCACTTTCCAATCTGCCAACATCCCATTTCAAAGTGTGGACACCAGAACCGGACACCGTATCTCATGGTGGTGTTGCTAACACCACACACAGCAGTGATCTCAGCTCTCTTCTCCTGCTAGAATAGTCACTATTAGTGAGAACCCACCTTAACAAGCGCTGTCACCACTCAACCAGGTCTGTGCTCTTTCTTATGAGTAGCACCACAGTCTGCTGGTGCAGCTGATGCTGGAGCTCCAAGATCAGCAAAAATGGCAGCAGTAAAAACTTTGCAGCTTTAATAACTCTCTGCAGCACTAACAACCATTCCTTCTGCATGGGGACACTCACCGGAGAGGTGAACGGCCGATTGTTGCTGGGTTTCCACCAGGCCATTCCGCACGATGCAGCTGATGTCTCCACTATTTTCCCTTTCGGTGACAGTGATGTGACTCACAACACGGTACAGGCTCTCCCTGTCCTGAGTCATGTCAGTCGCAGTCTCCGTTGCCAGTTTCTGCCGGTTCTTCCCAACCCACTGGAGCTCGGGTTTGGGGAACCAGCCTTCAGATCGACAGGTCAGCCCAATGCCCTCTCCCCGGGGGCCCAGCACATCAATGAACACCGGAGCCACAGCTGCAGGGAGAGACAGAGAGTGTGTGTGTCAGGGAATCGGGACTTTGGTATGGGGTGAAGTGTGGCAGAGGCACAAAGGGTCACATGCTCCTCCAAACTCTGTGGGAGGGAGGGGCAATGGACTAGCAGCCGGCACAGAGCCATCTTGTCCATTGGACAGTTTGGGGCAACCACCTCAGACGCTGCACTTTGAGGGGGTCCTAAGAGGCCTAGGGCAGCCCCTGCGACTAGTGGGGTGGCCTGGCACCAGAAGCATGGACTGGGTCCACCACTGAACTCACTAGTTGCGGTAGGAAATGTCCAACCTGGCCCCAGCTGCATCGCTAGGGGAGGAGGGAAGGAAGAAGGGGTGGAACCGCCAATCACGCTCACCAAAGGTGGGAAGAGGAGTGACACGGCCGAGAGCTAGCAAAGCGTATGAGACAGAGTCAGCTCGCTCCTCTTTCTGCCACCGCCAGTGAGTGTGGGGG